TAAGTTTTTTCCTAGACCTATTGTTCTTTTTGTTTCAGTTATAAATGGGACTGTTTTCTTAATATCATTTTCTACAACTTTATTATTATATAACCAATTTTTATATTAATTTTGTATCTTGTAACTTTACTGAATTCATTCATACATTCTAATAGATTTTCGGTGACATTTTCATGGTTTTCTATATGTAGTATCATGTCATCTGCAAATACTAACATTTTAACTTTTTTCTCACCAATTTGGATATCTTTTATTTATTTTTCTTATCTGGTTGCTGTGGCTATGACTTCCAATACTGTGTTGAATAAAAGTGGTAAGAGTGGATTTATCTATTTTGTTCCTGATCTTACAGAAAAAGATCAGGTTTTTTTTGGTTTTCATCATTGAATATGATGTTAGCTGTGGGTTTTTCATATATGGCCTTTATTATATTTGAGGTATGTTCCCTCCAAAAATTATAAACAACGAATTTTGTCAAATGCTTTTTCTGCATATATTGAGATATTTTTTCCTTCTTCTTGTTAATGTGATTCATCACACTGATTTGTGAGTATTTAACTACCTCTCATCCTTCAAAAAAATCCTGCTTGGTCATGGTGAATGATTTTTTTTAATGTATTATTGAATTCTGTTTGCTAATATTTTTTTGAGGATTTTTTGCATCTATGCTTATTAGAGATATTGGTCTATAGTGTTTTTTGTTTATAGTGTCTTTAGGTTTTGGTATCAGAGAAATGCTGGCCTCATAGAATGAATATTCAATTTTCCTTCCTCTTCTATTTTCTAAAATAGTTTAAGAATAATATATATTAACTCTTCTCTAAATGTTTGGTAGAATTCAATAGTAAAATTGTTCCTCAACTTTTGTTTATTGGGAATTTTTAATTACTGATTTAATTTCACTATTAGTAATTACTGGTAATCTGTTCAGATTTTCTATATCACCTTGATTCACTTTGGAAATTGTATATTTCTAGGAATGTATCCATTTTTTGGTAGTCCAATTCATTGGCATATGATTTTTATAATATTGTCTTATAATCCTTCATATTTTGTGGTGTTTGTTATTTCTCATCATTCATTTCTGATTTCATCTATTTGAGTTCTCTTTTTTCCTTGATTTCTCTGGTTTATTTATTTATTAACTTTGTCAAAGAATCAGCTCTTAGTTTTTGTTTTTTCTATTGTCTGTGTTTTTGTTTTTTGTTTTTATGACATCTCTATTTTATTTACTTTTGCTCTAATCTTTTTCTTTCTTTCCTTCTACTAGCTTTGAGCTTTGTTTTTCTTTTTCTAGCTCTTTCAGGTGAAAGATTAGGTTATTTGAGATTTTTCTTATTTTTTGAGGTAGGTCTGTATTGCTACAAATGTCCCCTAGAACTCCACTTTCTGTATCCCAAAGATTTTGAGTGCTGTATTTTTATTTTCGTTTGTCTCCATATATTTTTTTATTTCCTTTTTGATTTCTTGGTTGACCCATTCATTGTTTAGATGCATGTGCTTAGCTTATATGTACATGTATATTTTCTAGATTCTTTCTTATAATTGATTTCTAGTTTTAAAGTATTTTGGTCAGAAAGGATACTTAATGTGGTTTCAGTCTTCTTCGAATCCTGTTTTGTAGCCTAGCATGTAATATATCCTGGAGAATCAGACATTTCCACTTGAATAGAGGATTTTTTTTTTTTACTGTTTTGAGATATATCTGTTAGGTTCATCTGGTCTAACGTGTTGCTCAAATCATCTATTTCCTTGTTTTTTGTCTTTAGTGATATAAGTGAGGTCTTAAAGTCTCCTATTATTATATTGCTGTTATTTTCTTCCTGTGTCTGTTAATAATTGTTTTATGTATTATGTATTTTGGTGCTCCTGTGTTGGATGCATAGATATTTACAATTATTTTGTCTACTTGTTGGCTCATTCCTTTTCATTACATAGTGCCCTTCTTTGTCTCTTTTCACAGTCCTTCTTCTAAAGTCTATTTGGTCTGATAAAAGTATTGGTATCCCAGCTTTCTTCAATTCCATTTGCATGATTTATTTATTTTTCTAGCCCTTCACTTTCAGTTTGCATGTATCTTTAGGTCTGAAGAGTCTATTGTGGTTAACATACAGATGAGTCTTGGTTTTTTATACCTTTAGTCCCTCATGTCTTTTGATTCAATTACTTGGTAACTTACATTTAAAGTGATTATCAATAGGTATGTACTTATTGCCATTTAGTAACTTGTTTTCCAGTTGTTTGTGTAGTTCTCTCTCCCTTTTTTCCTCCTCTTGGTCTCTTTCATTGTGGTTTGACAGCTTTCTTTAGTCTTACGCTTTGTTTCCTCCCCTCCCCGCCTTTTTATGTATCTATTACAGGTTTCTAATTTGTAGTTACCATTAGGTTTATATATCACATGTGCACAGCTGTCTGTATTAAGTTAATGGTTGCTTAAGTTTGAACACATTCTAAAGCACTAAAGTTTTATGCTCCCCTCTCCATATTTTATGTATGGAATGTCATATTTTACATTTGTTTATTTTGTGTATGTCTTAACTGGTTTTTGTAGATATGTGATTTTCCTACTTTTATGTTTTAATCTCCATACTGACTTTATATGTGATTAATCTACCACCTTTATTATATGTTTGTAGTTACCTGTGAAATTTTTTCCTTTCACCCTTTCATAATTTTCTTACTTTTATGGCCTTTCTTTGCACTCAGAGTTCCCTTTAACATTTCTCATAAGGCCAGTTTAGTGGTGATGAACAGTTTTAACTTTTGGTAAAGCCTTTTTTTTTTTTTTTTAAGATTATTTATTTATTTATTTGACAGACAGAGATCACAAGTAGGCAGAGAGGCAGGCGGAGAGAGAGAAAGGGAAGCAGGCTCCCTGCTGAGCAGAGAGCCTGATGCGGGGCTCGATCCCAGGACCCTGGGATCACGACCTGAGCCGAAGGCAGAGGCTTTAACCCACTGAGCCACCCAGGCGCCCCTTGGTAAAACTTTTGATAAAACTCTCCTAATCTGAATGATGACCTTAAGGGATAGAGTATTCTTGGTTGTAGGTTTTTTTGTGGGTTCCCCCCTCCTTTTAGCACTTTGAATTTATCATGCCACTCATTTCTGGCCTGCAAAGTTTCTGCTGAAAAACCAGCTTTAATGGGGTTTCCTGTGTATGTAACTGTTCTCTCTCTCTGCTTTTAAATTTTTCTCTTCTCTTTGAACTATTATCTGTCTTGGTGTAGACCTCCTTGGCTTCATCTTGTTAGGGGCTTTCTCTGATTCCTGGATCTGGATGTCTGTTATCTTCCTTAGATTATGGAAGTTTTCAGCTATTATTTCTTCAAATAAGTTTTCTGCCCCCTTTTCTGTTCTCCTTCTGGGATGGTTGGAATCCAAATATTACTATTCTTGATGTTGCTGAGTTCCCCTAACCTAGTCTCATTGTTTTATTCATTTTTTTCTCTTTCAGCTTTTCAGTTTGGTTGCATTCCATTATTCTCTCTCTTCTAGATTGCTGATCTATTCTGCATCTTTTAATCTGCTGATTTCCTTTAATTTTTTTAGTTATTGAGTCCAGTGAGTTTTTTTGTGACCATTACTTTGAATTCTTTATCAGGCATATTGCTTATCTCTATTTCAATCAGCTAGTTTTTCATTTCATTTATATCTTACTCTTTCATTTGGTATACATTGCTCTGTCTCCTTTTGCCTAAGTGTTTATATTTCTTTATATATATTAGGCAGGTCCCCTATGTCTCCTGGTCCTGAAAGTAGTGGCCATAGGTAGAAGAGGTCCTATGGTACCCTGTGACAGCATGTGCCATGTTCATTAGAACCAGGAATTCCAGGGCTATCTCCTATGTGGGCTGCATGTGCCCTAATATTGTGGCTAAACTCTATTTGCCTTCAGCCCAGTTGGCTACAAGTATGAATTCTTCCTTTACTAATAGATAATTATAGGCAAAGACTCTAATCATCCTAAGTAGAGACACATTTGTATTGGCATTTTATTTGCAAGTATTATGTATAAAAAGGTACAAATTTAAAAATTGTGCAAATGTATCTGAGGTCAAAATTAACGAGCTCTGAAACATCAATCATAAAATAATTCTTTGTTTAAAAAATAATTGCTAAATGAAAGGCACTGTATCTCACAACTCCAATGTTATATCCTTTTTCTTTGTATCATTTTTCTTAAGTTGCTAGTGTTTTTAAAAAAGTAAATCCTATTTCAGATGCAATACATTATTTCCCTAAAACAAATGATAGAATAAGATTGTTTACAACAAAAAAGGAATTCAATGAAAAATGACAAAATAAGCTTGCTGTTTAGGGAAGTGGAACATTATTTTTGCTCTCCTCAGAGACTAAGTTTATAATTTATTTTCTGCATGTAGAAAACAGAAGTAAAATTCACACATACTTCATTACTAGATACCCATACACTGTATGTATAGTTGACAAGAACAAAACAAGAACATCTTTAGAAAAAAAAAAATCCCAGTATGTGGGTATCAGAGTTAAATGTTAACCAAATTCAAATATATTGAAGGGCTTTTAAGTGGCTAAGATAAAAATTCTGAAAAACTTGGATTGCCCATGTATATTTGAACATATTTAGCATAGTTGAAATGCTATTATCACAAGTTACAATTATAATAAACTATTCAAATTACATATATGAAAATAATAACCATTTGCCTATGTGTTAGGATGCCTCATTCTGTTGTATCTTACAGAATTCCAACTCAAACTGTCTTAAGAAAGGAAAAAAAGGAATTCATTGACATACAAATAATTGGGGATTCTGCTTGAAGTAATATGAAATAGTAGAATTCAGGTGATGTCATCAGAATTACCAAATGTGAGTGTCTCTCTCCTTTTTTCTTCTGTGTTAGCTTTATTTTATATAAAAAATTATTTATTTTTTTTTTATGAAAACAGTTTTATTTTTTTACACTTAAAGGCTGATGAATAACCATTACTAATCCTATTAAAGAAAACCCAACATCTCAATCAGAAAGGATAACCATATTTACTCATTAAATAGCATTTAAGTTTTCTACAACACAACTTGAAAATACCCAGCGTGCATGTTTAATCTAGTACAATGGATTCAAGACCAAGTATACATGTTACAAGCATCAAGGCTGGATTACAAATTATCATAGTCATCATCGTCATCATCATCGTCATCATCATCATCTTCTCGTTTTCTTTTCATTGCATTTGATGATTCATTGGCAGTATTTTGTGATGACACCATGTTAGTGGTAATAAGAATGTTTTTGGACCCAATTAATGGTGGATTAATCAGAACATTCTGAACTGTGGATGTTGCAGGAATTGATGCTTTTACAGTTGGGGACTGTGAAGTGGGCATCTGTACTGTAAACCTTTGCCCTGTGAGGGACATTGGAGTCCCTACTTTAGTTGACACAGACATGGTCTGTGGGGTTGGTGTGCCAAGAGTGGGAGTACTTGGTCTGCTAGTAACTGAACCAACACTTAACCGTGGAACTGTTATTCTTCCCGCAGAGGTAGATGCCTTTTTTTGTAAAGACTTATTTTGTTCCCCATGGGGTACTGACTACTACAGGCTTACAGCCTTCCATTTCCACAGCATAAGAAAGAAAGCTTTTCTTTTCCAGGAGTTTCAGAAAATGTCCTTGGATTACTAAAATGTTATTAAATTCCTAAAGCTTAACCAATTAAAATACTCAGTGTTAGCCAAGCCCCAACAAATGGCATTGTTTATGCAAGTATATAATATTCATAGAACCAATATAAGAGCAACTTATCCATATTTGAGAGGGAAATAGTATATTACATGGAAGATAAGCAAACCTTTTGAAGTCACATGGTGTCTCTAAATTTAAGAATCCAATTTATGCAGTATAATCTGAGGAAATAATCAGAATAGAAATATTTTATTCATTAAAAAATAATCAAAACTTTATCATTAGATGAAAGGGCTTTAACGGTATAATCACTATTGTACAGAATCATACATATAAAAGGTTATGGACATCTAAAAACATCCAAAATATTTTTTAATTTCATAAGGAAAATGATCATCTAAAATAAAAATGTTAATATCCTCAAAAATAAAAACCCTTATAATTTCAAAAATTGAAAAACACATAAATAGTTGAAGATAGGAATACTTTAAATTGTGACATATGCTTCCAAAAGATACTATTCTAGTATTAAATGCCATTTTCCTAATTTTGCCAAATGTATGTATGTGTGTGTGTTTTCCTGTGTATCTATATAATCTTGTTACCTTTTTCAGTTCTTTAGTCTTATTTTATAAATATTCCTTTTTGTAAAGTTCTTCTTCTCTTTTCTTTCTTCTTCTCTTTTCCTATTCTTTCTGTTTTATTTTATACTATTGATTCCACCAAGTGATTTCATAGAAATTCTTTTGCATTTTAGAGTATATTCTATTCAAAGGATTTCTCCTTTTTGGTTTACTGAGTGCTTTTTCCAAAACCTTTCCTCATACACACAACACTATTTGATCAAGAGCTCTATTTTTTTTTTTTTTGTTTTTCTTTTCTCCTTACGTATCATCAGTCAAGAAAACAGTATTGCTTGTTACTCATCATCAGTCAAGAGTCAGTGTGACATTTTTCACACTTTTTCACAAGACATTTTTCTTGATCTCAATCTATCGTCATATATGTGGTAATCTTTTTTTAGATCTATACCTGGAATGTACATTGATGTTCCCAACCCATTTAATTCTTTATCTTTGAGAAGATTTCATCAGCTTTGTTTCTACTCAGGTCTCATTTTATTCCTGTCTTATTTTCTACTCTTATAGACAGATGTAGTGTACGACAAACTATTATTACTAGTGCACTCTGATAATAAAGTCTTCATGGGACAGCACTTATCTAAAGTTATGTTCACCTACTTGAATTTTGTAGCATATTCTGAACTACTCAACAGTCTACTATACAATTTCACAATTGTCATTCAAACCAAGAAGGCTTTTTTTTTTTAATTTGAATTCTCTGCCTGTATGCAGCTACCATTGTAATTGAGCTGACAATAAGATTACACATCTTTTCCAAACAGAAGTTGAGGGGTAGTAGGAAATAAGTTGTGTCCCTAGGTCAAAAATTTGTTCTGAACATCATGCATTATTTCCAGGTAATCTCTGTGCATTAACTTGTTTTTGCTGTGAAATAAACCCCCTCAATATCTCAGTGCTTAAAGTTAGGTTTTGCAGCATTGTGATCTGCTGGTCATCTGAGTAGGTCTGTTTCAGGTCTGTTCCAAGTATCTCCCTCTGTCCTTATGCCCAGGGCATGCCCTCCTCTTGGTGACTGGTAGTGCAAGAGGAGCAAATGGAAACAGTATACTTAAAATCTCTGCTTGGAAGTGGTGCACTGTCACATCTGTCCATGATCTATTGGCCAAAGCAAGTTACATGAAGTAAAAATAAATGGGATAGGAAAATTATACTTACTGCCCATCCCAGTTAATGCTATCTATTGTAAAGTCAAAAAGGAAACTCTATCAATTATTTCTATTATAGAAAGGGAGCGAAGATTTGATAATAAATTGGCAACATCTATTACAACCTATTTCATGAAGCAAAGCCAAGGTTCATTTTCTGTTGAAGCATAAAAAAATTTAATTGTTAATAAACTCAATCTGCTTTATAATTTATGTCCATTCCTTCCAGAGTCTCTCATTAAGTTATCTGTCAGTCTGGGCTTTTGTGTTAAAATTTTTGATCTTTTACTGTGTGCCCAGTGATATGTTAATGAGAAATTGAATGAAATTTTGTTGGAGCTTGTTAGACAATCATGAGGTTGAACTGATGAACTGAATAGGTTTTGTTTTGTTTTGTTTTTTTAAACTTGAGTTGAACTAGACCTCTGTTTAAGAAGGGTATTAAAAAAATTTTCAGGTTATGTGTGGAAACCCATAATGTTTAATCCTATTGATAGTATAAAGCCACTTTGTAAACTGAGATAATTCTAGATCCTCTCAGCTTCAGTAGTCTTATGTGCAAAAAAAGAAAATTTGATTTATTGAAGTCAAAACTTGTGTAATGACAAAATACTTTTATGTTTCCCAATCACTTATTTTAATCATGTATTAGTAAATGGACCAAATGAACAAAAAACATTTTCTTCTCTCTAGAATAAATCTTGGAAAATTTTCATAATTTATTAATAATGTTAGTTATTAAAATGCAATTCAGTATGCTTTAAAATTCTTTTTCTTCTTTCTTTTTTAATTATTTTATTTTTTATTAATATATAATGTATTATTAGCCCCAGAGGTACAGGTCTGTGAATTGCCAGGTTTACACACTTCACAGCACTCACCATAGCACATCCCCTCCCCAATGTCCATAACCCCACCACCCTCTCCCTACCCCGCTCCACCCGAGCAACCCTCAGTTTGTTTTGTGAGATTAAGAGTCTCCTATAGTTTGTCTCCCTCCCAATCCCATCTTGTTTCATTTATTCTTTTCCTACTCACCAAGCCCCCCATGTTGCCTCTCAACTTCCTCATATCAGGGAGATCATATGATAATTGTCTTTCTCTGATTGACTTATTTCACTAAGCATAATACCCTTTAGTTCCATCCAGGTCATCGCAAATGACAAGATTTCATTTCTTTTGATGGCTGCATAGTATTCCCCCATATATATATATATATATTTATATATATATATATATATATATATATATATATATATATATATAAAATCTCACATCTTCTTTATCCATTCATCTGTTGATGGACATCTAGGTTCTTTCCATAGTTTGGCTATCGTGGACATTGCTGCTATAAACATTCAGGGGCACATGCCCCTTCGGATCATTACACTTGTATCTTTAGGATAAATAACCAATAGTGCAATTGCTGGGTCCTAGGCTAGCTCTGTTTTCAGCTTTTTGAGGAACCTCCATGCTGTTTTCCTGAATGGTTGCACCAGCTTGAATTCCCACCAACAGTGTAGGCGGGTTCCCCTTTCTCCGCATCCTCGCCAGCACCTGTCATTTCCTGACTTGTTAATTATAGCCATTCTGACTGGTGTGAGGTGGCATCTCATTGTGGTTTTGATTTGTATTTCTCTGATGCCCAGTGATGTGGAGCACTTTTTCATGTGTCATCCATCTGGATGTCTTCTTTGCAGAAATGTCTGTTCATGTCCTCTGCCCATTTCTTGATTGGGTTATTTGTTCTTTGGGTGTTGAGTTTGATAAGTTCTTTATAGATTTAGGATACTAGCCCTTTATCTGATGTGTCATTTGCAAATATCTTCTCCCATTCTGTCAGTTGTCTTTTGGTTTTGTTAACTGTTTCCTTTGCTGTGCAAAAACTTTTGATCTTGATGAGGTCCCAATAGTTCATTTTTGTCATTGCTTCCCTTGCCTTTGGCAATGTTCCTAGGAAGAAGTTGCTGCGACTGAGGTTGAAGAGGCTGTTGCCTGTGTTCTCCTCAAGGATTTTGATACATTCCTTTCTCACATTAAGATTCTTCATCCATTTTGAGTTTATTTCATGTGTGGTGTAAGGAAATGGTCTAGTTTCATTTATCTCCATGTGGCTGTCCAATTTTCCCAATACAATTTGTTGAAGAGACTGCCTTTTTTCCATTAGACATTCTTTTCTCCTTTGTCAAAGATTAGTTGACCATAGAGTTGAGGATCTATTCTTGGGCTCTCTCTTCTGTTCCATTTATCTATGTGTTTGTTTTTGTGCCAGTACCATACTATCTTGATGATGACAGCTTTGTAATAGTGCTTGAAGTCTGGAATTGTGATGCCACTAACTTTGGCTTTCTTTTTCAATATTCCTCTGGCTATTCGAGGTCCTTTCTGGTTCCATATAAATTTTAGGATTATTTGTTCCATTTCTTTGAAAAAAATGGTTGAGATTTTCAGTATGCTTTAAAATTCTAATCTTCTGGGATGCCTGGGTGGCTCAGTTGGTTAAGCCACTGCCTTTGGCTCAGGTCATGATTCTGGGTTCCTGGGATCGAGTCCCACATCGGGCTCCTTGCTTGGTGGGGAGCCTGCTTCTCTCGCTGCCTCTGCCTGCCTCTCTGCCTGCTTGTGTGTTCTCTCTCTCTCTCTCTCTCTCTGGCAAATAAATAAAATATTTAAAAAATAAAAAAAATAAAATTCTAATCTTCTTTCTGATTTATCTCTTCTGACAGGAAGGGGTGAGAGAGGAGTTTCTGGGTTGTGGTCTATGTCTTGATAAAATGTGGCTTATATAGGTGAATGCATTTGACAAGAATAAAAGAAATATACATTTAAATTTGAAACATACTATATGTAAATTTTACTTAAACTATAAATAGTTACTAATTTTTAAGTTAGTAAATTCATTAAAAATAGGAGGAGTTAGGGTGAACATTGGTGAAGAATATTCCTCATCTTTGTCCACTGAGAAAGTATAAAAGTAATGAAATACCTATATGAGCCCAGATTTGGGTTTCTAAAGGTCATTCTCTATAAAAGGGAAAAAACTCTTGGGGGGAAAAAAGCTGAATATAGATACAGGAAAAGTGAGTCTTTCCT